TTTCATTTCCTTCTATTTTATTTATTTAATTTACTTTTCTTTTGATGCCACTAAACTGTAATGCGTATCTCTTAATTATCTCAGGGGATATACTGTAATATAGTTCTACAGAGTAAAAAATGGTGAATTTGTGCTATCAACTAGATAAATTCTTATCCAACCCTAGATAAAATCTGTACAACCTGGCATAGATGAACAATTTGAATATCTTTTGTTGCTTCACCAGGTGAATTTGAAGTATGGTATCCATCATCCAGACTCAGGGACTGGGAGCGAGGTTGATACGTGCACAGCTTGTGCAGGAACTATGATCATGGAGTTTGGTGCCTTGTCAAGATTGACTGGTGATCCAATATATGAGGTACATGGATGCTATTAAATGATAATATATGAATGGGTTTATGATATACAGGGTAACACACCATCATGAGCACCTTAGTTAATTTATGTACTATTTTGATTAAGCTCGTAGTTTATCATGCCAAAGAATTACTAATTTTAAACTCAGACATAATGAATCTTTGAAACTTAAACCGTGATGCATTTTTTTTTAGATTTTAGTGGAATAATCCTCTTATGGATGAACTTACATGTAGTAGTTTTTCAATTATTATTTTTTATTATTTTCAAATTAAAAATTAGTCTTTAATTTTAATGCAAATTCTTGATTTCTAATTAACACTTTGCTTGGGTGGCCATTAAACAGAATCACATTGTTGAAGGCTTACAAAATAGACCACCTTGCAGTAATTTGGGATTGAATTGTTAATGTAGTTTGGTGTTTTTTTTGTACAGGCAACAGCAGGTAAAGCCATGGAGTCATTGTGGAGGTTCAGAAGTCGTGCATCTGATCTTGTTGGTACAGTGATTAACATCCACAATGGCGATTGGGTCAGACGGGGTGAGTTTTGATTATCAGATTTTGATTACTGATTTTTTGATGAAAAATTATGTCTGGGTAAAACCATTAAGTTAACAGATTAAGTTAACAGTGGCTTGAATAGTATTTTAATCATTATCATTATTATCATGGTCACAGCGGCCATATTGGAGGAACCTCAAGAAAGGATTTCTCATTAGTATCTATTGTTTCATTTCTCCAACATGGCCGCCGGTCTTTTATCTTTTGAATCTCATAGGAATGGTTGAAAACAATCAATTTATTATCATAATCATTATGATTATCATCATTATCATTATCATTATCATCATAATTATTATTATCATTTCATCATTATTATTGATCATCCTAATTATTATCATCATCATTATCATTATTATTGTGATTCGAAATTTATTATATCATCATTGTTATTATTATTATTAAATTATAATTGCTTAAATTATTTTGCTTCACTTCATTTCATTTTCTAATGCAGACNACAGTGTATTATTCCGACAAAGGATTAATGTACGAAACGTCAGTAAGTTACTTCTCCTACTTTTTTAGAGCGGATTTCGTATGAGTGGGACACCGTTACCGCACAGTTACCGCACCTGGACTGCACAATTTTGGTGAACCAATGGGGCACTAGAATTTGGTTACAGTACGATTACGGTCACAGTACAGTACCGTCCGTTTCCCACTCATACGAAATCCGCTTAGATATTGTGTTTAATTTATCTTTCTACACAACTATAAAAAAATGGTGAATTTGTGCTATCAACTTATCTTATCCAGCAGATAAAATCTGTACAACCAGGCATAGATGAATAATTTGAATATCTTTTGTTGCTTCACCAGGTGAATTTGAAGTATGGTATCCATCATCCAGACTCCGGTACTGGGAGCGAGGTTGATACCTGCACAGCTTGTGCAGGAACTATGATTATGGAGTTTGGTGCCTTGTCAAGATTGACTGGTGATCCAATTTATGAGGTACACATGGATGTTATCACATCGTTGAAGGATTACAAAATTGACCACCTTGCAGTAATTTGGGATTGAATTGTTGATGTAGTTTGGTGTTTTTTTTTTTTTTGTACAGGCAACAGCAGGTAAAGCCATGGAGTCCTTGTGGAGGTTCAGAAGTCGTGCATCTGATCTTGTTGGTACAGTGATTAACATCCACAATGGCGATTGGGTCAGACGGGGTAAGTTTTCATCATTCAATGGATTTTGATTACTGATTTTTTGGTGAGAAATGATGTCTGAAAAAAAGCCATTAGGTTAGTAGTGGCTTGAATAGAAATTTAATCATCATCATCATCATCATTAATCAGTTTGTTTTCAAGGTACGTCACAGCGGCCATCTTGGAGGAACTTCAACAAAGGATTTCTCTCATTACTATCTATATTGTTCATTCCTCCAACATGGCCCTGGTCTTTTATCTTTTGAATCTCATGGGAATGTTTCAAAACAATTGATTTATTTTCATGATTATCATCATCATCATTATCATCATTATCATCATAATTGTTATTATCAAATCATATCATTATCATTATCATGATTTGATTCATTATATCATCATTGTTATTATTATTATTTAATTATAATTGCTTAAATTATTTTGCTTCACTTCATTTCATTTTCTAATGCAGACAGTGGAGTTGGTGCTGGTATTGATTCTTACTATGAATATTGTCTAAAGGCGTACATTCTTCTTGGTGATCACACTTACCTGGATAGATTCAATAAGGTATGTTTCTGCTGAAAAGGTCAGTTTTCTAATCAAGAAACCCCTGGGGGAGGGAGGAAAGACTCCTTAATTGATAAACGATCAGAAATACTGCTCAGGGAGTCTTAAAATTAATTTTGTGTCAAAAAAATAAACTTTAATTTATTATATTTTAATTGTAAACTTTGTACAGCAATTTTGGAAATCATATGCTGTATTCTCTTAGAGGAGTTAAAATATAGTAAATTAGTGTTAAAAGGTCTGAATGAATATTTATTGAAGTGACAAATGATCATGTGGGTGGATGTTGTAGTTGTGGGAACAACTGTTTGATGTGACTGACATTTCGACAACCTCTGTGGTTAGTAATAATTTTCCACTTGACTTTGAAAATAATTGTTGATTACAGAGAGGTTGTTGAGACGTCAGTCGCATCAAACAGCTTTTCTCAGTAGTACAACAACCACACGGATGATCACATTGTTACTTCAATAAATATACAAAATTAACCACACACTTTTTAATTAATACACTGTTTTATGTTTTAGGAGTATAATATTGAAACTTTCTGATTCACAAATTTACCCTGAGTATCCCCAAACCCAATCCCGATGGAACAGTCTTAACCTGGCTGTCATTAAGAATTATGGCTAGTATGTATAACCATTAAAGGTGTTGTTCCTTTTTTTGTTCCATTTTTTAGCATTACAAGTCTATCATGCAGTACATCAATCAAGGAGCCATGTTTCTTAGTGTACAAATGCACCAACCTGAAAGAACCTCACATGCTTACATGGATGCTTTACAAGCATTTTGGCCAGGACTGCAGGTAGAATGCTGTTGCATTATATCAAAACTGACAAATATATATTAAATAGACAACTTGTACTTATGAAATCTAATAGCAAAATTGGAATACACTATGCTGCATCAAATTATTCAGTTCTCAAAACTTTTTTTTGAAATAGCTTTATAAAATAACTACTTCATAATTAGCCTGTGTATATCCTTTTCTTGCTCCTTCAAAATAATCTCTTCGCAATTTTTTTTGGAGTGTTGAGAAGCGATTGTACATACACAGGCTACTTCATATTGCTCAATCAAATTGATTGCTTGAAATGTGCAAAAATACAGTACCATGTTTCTGTAAGAGCATAGAAGCATGGCTTTAAAGTGAAGAATTGTTGTTATAGAACTGCATAAGAATTGAAACAATTCTGTTGATGATTTCAGGTTCTGAAAGGYGATCTCAAGAAAGCAATAGAGACCCATCACATGTTGTATGAAGTTGCTAAAAAACACACCTTCCTTCCTGAGGTATTTTAATAAAATATTAATATTACATCCTTGATAGGT